AGCAAAATCCAGAGTTCAGGCTTCATTAAGAATCTGAGGAAGTAAGAAGAACTAAAAAGTATGGCTGTAATCTAGCTGTCAGAACTGGAAAGTGAAAGAAGCCTCTATCAAAGCTTAATACAAAAGAGATGGGCAAGGGGCAGGTCTTGGAACCAAAGGAAATTGGAGAGTGGGACATGAACATTTTAACGTTTTGTCCAGAACACTGAAATTCCTAAGTCTAGCTCTGCCTTCAACACTCTGTGAGATCAAAGCCCCTGTAATGGGTTTCCTTGCAACATTGTATTCAGTGACAGCACACATTGTGTTCAGTTAGAGCACACTTTCAGTTTGTGCCTAGTTTTAATGAATATCACAGAGCTGTGAAGTTTTCTTTATTAATAAAACTGAATAAAAATAATTTCATTATGAAATACGTAGAGTGCATACAGAAAGAAAGGACCCAAGATCTGAATGGCTAATGCTGAAGCGCAGAAAGCACATCACAGAATGCAAAATTTGGAAGTGAAGCTGCAAGTCAGTGGAATGGACTTTTGAGAACAATTGAGTTGTTCAATTGAACTAAAAAATCAAAAGCCTTTAAAAATCTGAAGTGCTCAGAGATGACTCCTGACCTTTACTGTATTACATACAGGCCTGATTCTCAAGATCCCCATCCATTATATGCTTGAATGAGCTCAGTACTTATTGTTCTTTCATATCATTAAAAGAGCTAAAAGGTTGGAAAAATGCATAATGTAAAGAAAGGTCAAGTGGTAATCATAGTGTGAAATGCTGAAACATGTGTAAGTATAATAATTCTTTAGATTTTATGCTCCCTGGAGAGGTAGGTGTTCAAAATTGTTCACCTACAAAGGTTTATTCTGTGTTAAATATAGCTCAACAACACTAAATAGTGGAATTACACTGACCTTTTGCTCCTCTGCATCAGCAATGGCCTTTTCCTTGCTCACTTTCTCAGTCTGAAGTCCTATCTTGGTAATCAAAGCTTCAGCATCTTGATTTCTCAGTTGCAGTTCTGCTTCTTGAGAGGCAAGTTTGTATTTTAAGTCCTCCACCTAAAGCAGAATATCAAAGGCATTAGTTTCATATGGCTGCTACCCGGAAGCTTGGACAGTTTTCAGAAAAGGTGAGTACTCAACAGCTTGGTGTTAATGAGATATTTTTATGATTATTAACCAGAAGACAAGACCCCAAGTAACTATTTGAACTTGCTTTTCTAACTGGCTAAATAAGTGAAAACTGTAGGGCACATTTTCTCTTCTCTTTACTACCTCTTCGAGCAGTTAAAAAGTACATAGAATGTAGTGTTAAAGAAGGAACATCTCAATAGATTTCTCATATTCTTCATGGTTTTTAACACAAAAAATTCTGCATCATGGACTTGCCTGATGTATTCAATTTATTGAAAACTAATTAAAAAGCCACACACTACTTATAGATCATTAACACTATATTCTACTGAAAAGGAAACTATGGTTGCAATCCTAAAAATGCTTTCCTGAGAGTAATAAAATGGGACTTCTGAGCAGATCTGCTTAGAATTGCTCCTTAATTTTTTATTTTTATTTTTGCAATTGGGAGAGTAACAAGCAAAGGCTTACGTGGAGGAGGGTACAGGAGGGCCTCAGACACACACCGACTGCAACACAGAACATCCCACCGAAGTCCGCTGATGGAGATGCATATCAAGGGCATAATGCTTCACAAATGTGTGAGGGGTGGCCCAGGTCGCTGCGCTGTAAATGTCACGAAATGTGCCCTTTAGGAAAGCTGTAGAAGTAGCTAAGGCTCAGGTGCAGTGAGCACGGAGCGGGCCCGGGAGTGGTTTCTTGGCCAATAGGTAAAGGAGCTTAATAGTTTCCACAATCTACTTGGATAGCCTCTGAGATGACAGCTTAAGCCTGAGCGAAGGCATGGCATAGGAGATAAAGACGGCTGGAGCTGTATGAAAAGCCCAAGTCCTATCTAGGTAGAAGAGCAGGGCCTTCCTCATGAAAAGTCAGATGGAGGGGGTTGCAGTGGAGGGCTGACAGCTCGCTCACTTGCCTTGCTGAAGTAATAGCAACCAGAAATGCCTTTTTCAGGAGAGAAGCTGTAGGCTGCAGGTAGCCATAGGCTCAAACGCTAGCCCAGACAGTCTTGCCAGGACCAATGGAAGGTCCCAGGCTGGTGTGGGATGACGAAGCAGAGGGAAAAGGTGGACGAGCTCCTTGAGAAACTTCTTAGTGAGTGGGTGAGTAAACACTGAGTAGCCATCAATCGGAGGGTGATGAGCAGAAACAGCTGCCAGATACACTCGCAGTGAAGGGTGACTAAGTCCAGTCGAGACAACAGAAAACCAAAAATAGCAGACAGATCTGAGGGAGGTGGAGGTAGCCCAGTGGAGTCAAGGTAGTCCAAGAATTTTCTCCATATCAGTCATCGGATTTGCGGGTGGAGGGATTTCAACAGTTCAATAGGACGTAGTCTATTCTCTGCTTAAGGACTGTCAATGAATTCTCCATGCTGTGAGTTTCAGATGTGGAACATTGTGGTAAAGCACCAATCCTCCCTGAGAGAGAAGGAGATCTGGGGCTGTTGGAAAGTGACAGAAGGAACCCTTTGAGAGCTGAAGAAGTGTGGGGAACCAGTGTTGGTGAGGCCACTACGGCATCGCTAGAATACACCTCGGGATTCCTGTATGATCTTGTGAATCACTCTGGTGAGTAAGGGAATTGGAGGGAAGATGATTAGATGCTGGTGAAACCAGGGGTACAGGAGGGCCTACCCCTGCTCTGGAGCAGAACAGACGACATTTTTGTTCTTCCGTGTCATGAAGATGTCCACCAACGGGTGGCCACACACCTCAAACACAGGTTGGATATAATTCCAATTGGGTTCCCACTCATGCAGTCCCCGCTCAGGAAATCTGCAGTCACATTTTGCGAGCCTGGGAGATGTACTGCGACCAGGAAGACATTCCTGGACTGACATTCGTCCCAAATCTCCAGAGCCAACCCACATAGGCGTCTCAATACTATGCCACCCTGGCGATTTATATAAAACAAGGCAGTGGTGTTGTCCATAAGGATGGCAACTGTGTGGTCAGACACTAAGTGACAGAAGGATTGAGGGGCGTACTTGACAGCCAGAAGTTCCAGGAAATTGATGTGCTGGTGCGACAGATGAGTCTCCCAGTTGGCGCCCATGCACAAGGCCTTGAGATGTGTTCCCCAACCCCACAAAAATGTGTTCGTTGTGGGGAGCAGGTGGGTGGAAGGGCACACCCACCAGCAGGTTCTGACGATCCTTCCACTATTCCAAGGAGGTCAGGATATGAAGAGGAATGAGGAAGCATTGAGAATGAGGCTGACGCTGAGGGTTGAACTGTCTCAGGAACCAAAGTTGCAGAGGCCTCATGCAGAGCTTGGCAAATATGATCACCACAGTTGTGGCAGCCATCATACCCAGGAGGCGTTGGAGTTGCATGGCGGATGCATTGCCCTGCAAACAAATTTGTTGAATGAGACAAACAACGTCTTCTGCCCTTTTTTGGGGGGGGAGGTTTTGCAAACTAGAGAGTCCAGAATCACATCTATGAAATGGACCCTCGTGGAGGGATTGAGCATAGATTTTTTGCGATTCACTCACAGTCCCAGGGAGGGCAGCAGTGCCAGAGTCGAATCTATATGCTGTAGAACAGCAGGTCTGGAGTCTGCCACTAACAACCAGTTGTCTATATATGGGAAAATCCTTATCCCTTGCAGACGCAATCACAACCATCATCTTTGTAAATACATGAGGAGCTGTGGACAGTCTGAAAGGGAGAGCCTTGTACTAGTAATGCTGCTCCCCAATGGCAAACCGAAGAAACTGCCTGTGATGGTGGTGTATCGTTATATGGAAATAGGCATCCTGCATATCTAGGGTCGCCATCCAAGTACCATACCCCATAAGGGAAAGATATTTTGCAACGATGTCATCCAAAACTTTTTGTAGACAATGAAGTGATTCAGTCCTCTAAGAGCCATAATGGGACGGAGGCCTCCATCCTTCTTGGGGATTGTAAAATAACGGGAGTAAAATCAAGATGACGGCTGTGGGGGGGATGGATTCTATGGCTTGTTTGTGTAATAGATTTTGCACTTCTTCTAGGAGAGTGGCAGATGGAGGAGTAGACTTGACGACTCTATCATATACCTGTCCAAGATGATGGAAAGGACGTGTCTCCAGGCAGAAAGGTAGGGATGTAGGCGGATGGATCCCTGTGGTAGGAGCAGGGGTCCCAAGTCAAAGACCCTTTTTGGGGCCCTTGGAAGCTTTTGCTCTAGATTGAGTGGCAGGAGCAAACCTAGATTTGGTTCCATATGAACGAGAAGGTGTATAAGGGGATATCTGTTGCCATTGCATTTCAGGGGATGACTTGTGAAAGGACTGGCGAGACCAAGACTTGTTTCAGGGTCTGTATTTACCCTGTCTGGAGGAGGAGAATACTCCTACGTTATGAGATGTTTTGATATTTTTGTCCAGATCCTGAAGAATGGTGTCCGTAGTGGAGTTAAAGAGACCTTCCCCTTCAAAGGGGAGATCTTCCGCATAAGATTTGGTATCATGTTGCAAGGGAGTGGATCTCAGCCATGCATGATGACAGAGAGCAATAGCTGAAGTAAGCATTTTGGCTGATACATTCAGTGTATGTTTGGCTGGACTGAGTTGGTATTTAGCCAGTAGCATCCCTTCCTTCAGAATCCTCCTGGCCTGACAATTGAGGTCTGCAGGGAGGGATGCAATAAACTCAAAGAGTTGTTCCCAGAGGGCACACTGGTACCTGCCCATACAGGCTGCATAATTTGAAGTGGCAGATGCCCAAGGCACCATCAGAATAGAATTTTCTTCTGAAGAAATCCAACTTTTTTTCTTCCTTATCAAAGGGTGTGGAGTGCATGCGTCTACCTTTTGGAGACAAAGTGATCATCACAGAGTTTGGTTTAGGGTGTGTAAATAGGAATTCAGCTCCTGTTTCTTGGACCTTGTACATGTGGTCAGTTCTGCAGCTAGAGATGCGCGTGGAGGCTGGATGAAGCCAAGGAACTTTTGCAGCCTACAGCAGGACTGAGATCATAGGAAGGGCGACAGCTGTGGAAGTGTCCATCTGAACTATCTTGAAAACTGTGTCGGTGAACATGAGTGGGGGTTATATGGTGGACAGTGTTAAAGTATTGGCCATATGCTTGATGAACTCCCCATACAATTTTAAGTCTTCCGATGGGGAGATTGGGAGTTCTTCTGATACCTTTTGTGGAGGGATTTGCAGGTTGCTCTGAGCCCTCGTCACCTGATTCTTGTGCTGAAATGCTAGAAGAGTCTGTTTGATCAAACTGCTCTGAGTACTGAGTTGGAGCGGGGATATTTGGTACCAGAGGTTTCAGCATTGATGGAGCAGCCTTCCCCTTAAGTACTTGCTGATGTCTATGTCACTTGTCTGTTGGTACCGATGGCTGCTGCAGCAGCTTCTCCAGTATTGGGGTGGGGTCTCAATAGTGAGAGAGGCAGGAGGGCATGGATTGTCGATCCCAATCCATTGGCATGCAAGATGGGAGCCAAGGCATGCTAACAGAAAGTGGGTAGGCTCCATATAGGAAGTGCCATTGGTGCTGTTCCCATGGGGCCAGAGGTGGAGGCGGAGGCCTCGATGGTCGATCCCAATTGTTGGTAGGCAGGTGGCAAGCAGAAGGATGTGGGATGTTCCGGCCTCCCCGATTGGTATGGAAACTTTCGATACTGGAGGATTGGGATTGCTGAGTTAAATCCATATCGTGCTCCAAGTCTGTGAGCTGGATAGGATGCAATATGCATGAGGATGTTCCACCATGTGGTCGACCGCAGACCAGTCAAGCAGTTTGAGTGGGGGCACAGAGGATGGTTCCGGTATGCGATGAGGCATCGATGGAACCTTGAGTGAGGAACTTTTAGGTTCTTCTGTCTCTCTCTTGTGCTTCTTCTGCATGATGGATTTAGGGTCTTTACCCTCCCTGCATTTCTTTGCAGGAGTATAGAGTTACAACTTCGACGCCAGGACCAAGCATTTGAGTATTGGTTGATCGACATCGGTAGAAGCCAGCATCGGAGACAATGCGGCTGTTGATGCCGAGGCTGGGGTTGACATTGAGGCATGGCCAGAGGTTTCTTGGGACAATGCCATCGATGGAAAGAGTGCTGATTCCAGGAGAGCAGTGCGCAACCTGGCAGCCCTGTTCTTTCTCATCTGTCTCGAGAACTTTGAACAATGTGTACAATAACTGACATGGTGAGTTTTCCTGAGGCACAGAAGGCAAAGGGAGTATCCATTGGAGGGTGTGATTTTGCTCCCGCACTTTAAGCACCGCTTTAAAAAGCCCCACTGTCATAAGCTGGTAGGCGGAGAGGGGGCTGCAAGGGAAGGGTGGCCCACAGGGACCGAGCCCTTTGGTAAAGAGTCCCTGAGTTACAGTCTATTCTGTAGGTTGAGGATAAGGAAGAATCTGAAGAAGAAAAAAGGGCTGAACAGGCCAGAAAGAAGTAAAGTTACTGACTGGAGCGAGGGAGATCCTAACAGCATGGCGGTCAGAAGAAAACTGGTGGGATCATCATGCCCCCTCCCTGTAGTCATGCACAGTGAAGCCCCCTGCGCATGATTCAGGGAGTGGGCACGAAAATCACTTTAGCTTTCAAGTTTACCAATTGGGGTTGGCGCATGCACACTATATCCCAGAGGTGTGATGCACAGAGACCACCTGGCCCTGACTAGTTTCTAAAAATACTTGGTTGGTGCCAGAAAAGGTGTCAGTGGATGTCATGTACCCATGGGTTGGGAATCCCTGCACTAAAGGATGGCAACTAATTCTCTAATCGCCAGTCCATAGGTGTGGAGGGTACAACACCTGAAGCAACATGACTTTTCAATGGCCTGCTTTGCTGGGGTGGGCTTTTGCTTACACTCACCAAAAAAGACAACAGTAACTTGTCTTGTGGTACCATAAAGACAAACAAATCTGTTTGTTCCAGATGCCATAAGACTCTTTGTTTTTCTTAGAGCATATGTTGAGCAAAACCAGAATAAGACCTAGGCCAACTATAGTCTTGGGGGGTATTTTTGTATTTTATACGTGTGTCTGTGTGTGTGCACCTGGAAGTCATGGGGACCTCTGGTAACTGACCCCTATGGGGGCCTGGAGATTATTCAGAGAGGTGGCTGAATAAGGCCTGACTCCACCTTCCGCCTCTGGTATCTCATGGAGGTGTCCCATTCAAGTACTTGCCAGAGTTGACCCTGTTTAGCTTCCAAGAGCTGACGAGATTGGGCTTGCCTGGGCTAGCCAGGTCAGGGCCAACTATGGTCTTTATACACTAATTTATATAAATGTAAACAAAGTTTGTGCCTATACAGCATATTCCACTTTTCCACTGAAAAACAATAATTTAAATATCTATTTTATTAATATTATTAAAATGGATTATTATTTGTAGTACCTGAGAAGATGTTGTCTTTAGTTTTTGAATGCCATTTACAAGATGTTCTTTATGCTCGGATATTTTCTGGACATTCTTTTCTAGAAGGTTCTTGTAAAGTATGATTTGTTCTAGAAAGCTTTTTGGAGTTGTATAGTTGTACCGCTTCTCATTCTGACGAAACTTCACACTTATCTCATTGACACTGGTATGAGCATAGGCCATGAAGTGACAAATGGAGTCATAAAACTCTGGCTGAAAACACCAATGATACACAATGTAATTTCAGATATAAGATTTAACATTCAGTTCATTACACTATACAGGCAACGGATATTTCTCTGTTCAAAAATACTTCTCCACTCAAAGTCAATGCCTAGGCACTGCCATCCTAATTCTTCATCAGTTGAATTGTGAAAGCCAGGAATGAGGCACATCCAACCAAGGCATAACTGACCATCTCACCTATATCCTTAAGCCCCCCCCCCCAGCTTCAGAATAGATGCAGGAAAGAAAGCAAGCATTTATTTCATTTACTTAATTTTTTGTCTGCCTTTCTCACTGAGGCTCAAGGCAGATTACAGAGTTATAAAAGACAATGCAAAAGACAATACAATAAATACAATGCATAATGCAATAAAGCTGGACTATGCAAATAATCAAACACTTGTCAGGGATGCTCTAGTGTGATCCTGCATTGAACGGGGGTTGGACTAGATGGCCTGCATGGCCCCTTCCAACTCTGTGAGTCTATGATTCTATTCTAAATTACCTCAGAAGTCTAAAGAGGCCTGGGCCATTTCCCATTTTTGAGGCCCCTAGCCATAATAAAAAATTATGTGATGTACATTTTAAAAAGTTGTAAAACAAGCTGTAAAAATAAATGCCAAAAAATTAACAAGTGTCTAAATTTGAAGCCCCCTTTGAGCTTGAGGCCCAAGCTAAATGATCCTCATGGCCCCCCTCTGATTGGCTCTGGACATCAGTGCAGAGGGAGCCAGTCAAAATGGTCCAAGGCTCAAAGGCAATGACCAGAGAAGCAAAAACCTCCTACTTAACCATACGAGCACCAATAGGAATCCTTTGACTAGGGAACAATCTGCAAAATAAGGCTCTAATGCTTCTTGAGGGGGCTGGGTGAAACTCCTGTCTTCCATATACACTGAAACTGCATACTTTTATTTCATATGTTAGGTTCAGTGGCCAGAGAGAAAGACCTGGGCATGAAATATTAGCGGGAAAATGATAAAGAAATTAGTTCCGGTAGGACAGAGAATGCTACTCTTATTGTTCGCTAACCATGTATTATTCTATATATTGAATCATAGTAGAATTATTGATATGAGATAAAACTAAAATATGAATGTGACAATTCTAAAAGACCCTGTTCTTTTTAAAGCATTTGTTATTATAATGTATTAAAATTGCCATTAAAATGCTTCATTATCAGTGTAAGCAATTTTCATTTTGTCCTCTATGACTTCTACCGCACTTAACTTTCTAATTTGTGGAATCACATCTCCCTCATTTTAATGATTATTTATTGCATTTAGTACAAGATGTACCCAGTTCAATTAATCAAGGGAAACTTAAAAATCAATTAATATGAATTAAATGAGCTACAGCAACTCTTAGGAAAGTCACACATAATTTACCAAAGCATTGTCAATAACACTTTGAGACCTTTTGGAAAATTACTCATGAGTGGCTGTTGATACAGCTAAACATTTCAAGCCAACATAATTAATATTATACACAGGTTCATTTAGACAGGCTTGTAATTTGTCTTGGAAAGAAAACTTATCTTTGCACATGGCTTCTTTAAAAAGAGCTGGGTTTTTTCCCCCTTTTCTTTTTTAGGAGGATTATACTGTTTGGGTGTAAACTGACCAAACTCTTGAACCCCCAAGGAAATAGTTAATGCACATTCAAAATCCATTTCAGACTTTAAGAAGTTAAATTACTCCCCCCATCTCTCTCTCTCTCTCTCTCTCTCTCTCTCTCTCTC